CTTCACGTCTTTGTTAATTAGTTTGTTAGGTCTCCTTCTCCTTCCTCAGCTGGCAAATCTTTCAATCGCAAGCAAACTACACTGCTCTGCGTCAAAATCCTCACTTTGACAGGAATGTTTTGAGGTATGAAGAACACGAATCCAATCGCAATGAAAACTTCAACTAAAACTACTAAGAAAACTACAACGTGAAAAAATTAAGAGAGTTTAAGTGTTAGGCTTCAAGAATTTTTTGGCCACATATCCGCGCTATAATTAAGGACCTGGATTTCGAAGAAAAATTAAATGAAAATGAAAAAGAACTTGGTATGTGTGTGTGTTAACAATTTTTGGGCAACAAAAGAACTACAAATCACAAAGAAATTTTTAAAAAACTGCTTTCATCATATAAGACAATAGATTACAAACATCTAATTAGAAATTCATTGTTTGCACTCTCATTTGGATTTCTTTCGCTTTACCTTTCAACTTGGGAGAAGTTTGAAATGAACACGGAGAACGGTTTAATTAAGATACAGCCCCAATGGAGAAGACGTATAGGGGTTAACGTGATGTGAAGATTCTCGTGCTGACTACTGCTAGACAGCAGACGAACACTATAAAAGGAAAAAATGTACACATTGATTAGGCATAAAGTTATATTATGTTCAGGATGTAATACTTTAAACATTATTATTATTATTCACAGGAAAATAAATAAATAAATGAACTAAAAAGAGCATGCTATTTCAGTTTTTTTTTCAAACACAACCTTCATTTTCTCAAGAACGGTGCCTGATAGAATTTTTCCTACTTCGGATTCGAACACGAAATAATATAAAAAATCAAAAAACATTTCATTATTCAGAGAATTTTTTTATTTAATTTTTTTTTTCAGTACTGTGCTATTCATCTACATCATAATGAAATCTGGACCTATAACCTTTAGTTGTGGAGTTGCGAATAATTTTCGAACATCAATATTATTCAATCCTTACAGTCCAATGCATTTCGAATCATAACCAATGTCCGATACTGTGCCAAAAAAACAAACAAAAAAGTAGCAAAACATCTCGTTTGTACTCGAAGTTATTCCACACATATTCTCAACTTTCATCAGAAATGTATTGGCGAGCTTTTCCACTCAAGTCCTGAGCATTTACTATGAGTGATAAGCTCTGGAACCACTTTCAGTGCTGCTTTTCCTTCCACTTATGGCCAAAAACCATAGTTCGGAATTTCGTATGCAGTATATATATATATATTGTAAATCGAAGTAAATGTATAACAAGAAAAAAAATTAAAGGAAAATTAATTAAATTTTCATTGAAATTTTATTTTATTATAAATTATTCTTTTATTGTTGTCATCTGTTACTTTTTCTTTCTATCATTAAAGTATTTTCCTTTTTGTTATTATTATTTGTCTAAAATACGCATAAAGCTAGAAAAAAGACATAAGATGATTATGTTATAATTGGAAAAATATAAAAAAAAAACAAAGCAAGGAGTCTCTCAACATACAGGTGAATAGGTAGCTTGCCAACGTTTCGCCAATTCAGTCATTATCACTTCAGAAAAACCAAGATCACATATATGCAGAAAGAAAGAAGAATGCAGTAGACATCTCATGAAGCCATCCAAATACATACTGAAGGAAAGAGAAGGTTATATTGAACAGCTGAATATATTTAATAAGAAAAGGAAAATAGGTTTAACTAAAATTATCACGTTATGTCTCTTTTCTAGCTTTTTTGCTTATTTTAGTTATATTACTTGAGGAATAGCCGTGTATCCACTGAGTTGTATTGGGAATGGATGCTATAAATATATATGAATGATTTCTTCTACAAAGCACTTGCTGTAGACATTGAAAAATTGAAATCTGACACCCAATCGACCTCTTTTATTCAAACCCTGATGGAAACACCAAGCAGCAAAAAACTGTAAAATTACCAGCCATCAATATTCCTACATTTAATGTGGATGTCGCTGAATCGGTTTCTTATCGAGACCTTCATTTCCTTAATTCATGAAAATACTGACTTACCGAAAATTAAAAAAAATCATCATTTGAAAACCTCAATAAAGTGTCAAGCCGCATAATCAACACCAGTAATAGCTATTTCAGCCGAGGGTTACGCGCAAGCATTGGGAAGTCTTTGTAAACGTTATGATGATAAATGGCTATAAGCGTCCATTCAAAAGTTGGATTTTGAATTTTCATTGTCTGGTACGATTTTCTGAAATCGTACTAAATAGAATGTGCAACTGCTTTATTATTAACAGCAGGGATTTATCTTGGATTCATATGTTTTGAGATCGCTAGACTCACGCAAGGACAAATATTCCAAGTTTCGAATTTTTGCCTGAATTTAAACATAGGCAATTTTCACAATGCCAAGCTACAAACCTTACCATAAGCCCAAAGCTTCAGAGCTATAAGAGCGCTTCACCAAATAGGAAGTTTTTTTATGACCAAAGAAGACACATCTAACAGTTGCCTATTATGCCATCAACTTCATAGGATGTACGGTTATAAACAATTTCTTAATCTATGGATCGATACAAAACAGTTAAAGCTCATTCTTTATGTTTTAATTGTCTGGTTTCATCTCACATATCTCTCAATTGCAAATTCATGTAACATGTATGTTATGTGGAAAGAGAAATAACATTATATTTTAAAACAAATAGAAACAACGCGGTATCGCCTAAAAAAAAACAAACCAAATATAAAAGAGCCAATATTACAAAGTACTACTCCAGAGGAACCATATACTATCTGTACTGTGTTTTATCATCCGTGCAATCCTTATTCTAATCGACAGTAATAGTCCGGGAACTGAGGCCGAAGATCAGTTATAACTTTATATGTCGATTCCGAGAATTTGCGATAAAAATTAATTTTGTATGTATATATATATATACACCGAGGTTAAGATCTATAGAGAGTTATAGCATTATAATAATAACGAATATAATAAATATTAATTTTACCGCATGTTCTTGGAACTGACAATAATTGATCTAAAGTTGAATTGAATTTTTAAAATTGGTCTAACTTAAATAAAATATATTTTTAAAGAAAATTTGAACTTTCTTGAAAATAAAAACTTTCTTTCATGTGGCTTAATCGTAAAACGAAGCAATCAAGAGTTAGCTAGTCAAATACAGTAAAAAACATGAGATAAAATGTTTTTTTCCACAGTAGCAATAATTGAGGACGGATGTCTCAGAAACTAAGTGAGATAGCGAAAGAAAGTACATAATCAATTATATTGCAAATTTTATCAGCTTTAATTTAGTATAGAACCTCTTTGTCAATGCGAGGGATAGTTTTCCTGATACATGCGAAAACTCGAAAAAAGTGACTTTGATGACCCATAAAATTTTATTGCATCCTATCTGTAGTGGCAGATGCCCATATTTGCCGTCTATGGTGAAAATACTTTCGGGATTCACGGTAAAAAAAGATCACCTTTTCGGCCTCAGCTCTATAGGGCTCAACGATCGTTTATCACTAATTGCCAACTGTTGGGTTTGCCATTGATATATTGTTCCAAACTTTTTACTTTCACTTACCTGTATGTGTAATATATAGTAAGAGTAAGTATTGAGATGATGAAAATTTTTGAACCATAGATTTCAGCGGAAATAGGAAATACGCGTTTTGAGGTCCCCTGATTCCAAATAACCAAGTTCCGAAAAATGGTCTGTGTACCCGTGGGTCTGTGTATCTGTGTGAACAGTCTAGTTAAAAAACCAAAAGTCGATCGAAACTGATATTATGTATTTAAGATAGGTATATGCCTTAGATGGGACTGCAACTTTTTCCTTAAAATCGGCTGACCGGAAGTGCCACTTTATATCAACGCTGAAACACATCTTTTTTTCAAAAACGGCTCAAACGATTTTGATTAAACTCGGTGTATCACTGTATAATTAAGTGGTCTTTAATATCATTTAGTTCTTATCGACATTGATGTCACTTTACAGGGCTTAAATAGCCAATGTTCATATACATCTTCCTCTAAAGTACCTTTAATATGGTTTATTTTACATAATTAACTATCTCTCATTATTAAGCGTTACGAAAAAATGCTAAATATACCTATTGAAAGAATTTGATAATGGAATAAAACAGAAAAAAATAAAAATGTTTCAACAGTTCGAAAATGTATCTCCGGAATTACTAGTCGAAAGGTATACGTATAATATATCGTTAGGAAGCTGAGAATTTTAGAAAAAAAACAATATCTAATACAGAAATTTGTATTATAACGGTAAGATAACGGAGAGTGGCAAAAAAAGTATAAATAATAATTTCAGAAAACTAACATTATTTAACGTAAATCACATGTTTCCAAGGAAACTAAATGAAATTTCCTTACTATATGTAAGCTTTTAAATGTTTTTCTAAGCTTGAAAAAAAAGTATTTAACTTCCACCGAATCAGAGAAATGAATATGAAGTTTTATAAGGAAATAATAGATATTAGATATAAATAGAAAATTGAGATATTGTAAAATCTATCAAAATATACTGATAGGAAAATATATATATAAATGAGCATTCAACTTTTGTTTTAAAAAACACGGTTAGCACCATTAAATTGACGTCAATTCAGCGACTTGAATTTAGTGCAGCAATTTTGCTTGTAAAAACACTCTATGCTCTACAACGGTTTTTCAACTAATTGAATTATAAGTTATTCTGTTATTATTTATTGGCTGTTACTTTTTATTTTTATTATTATTATTTATTTTTAGCTTATAGTATTTTAGTTTGTATACATGGTATGAAAGTGTACTTAGAACCATAATACCTGTTGTCCTTGATTGAGGAATATTGAATAATTTTTTTTCAATAAAATTTATCATTCGTTAAAAACTAATAAATTATCCAATTTTAATGTCAATGTAAATTTGTCGACGCGAATAAAAATTGATTGACGTATTTTGCCGAACGGGTATAAAAACCTACAATAAAACATCTGAGTTATTTAATCTTCTTGATCCTATGAACAGCAATAGGTAAGAACCTTTTAACATTTATCACTGACGATAATTATATACTTAAGTTCTCTCACCCAGCCTCTATTGGCTTTGAATATCTCGGACGTGCCAGAAAGAAGCGTTTAGATATCATAGAGCAATCCATGGTCTGCTGCTATGCGGTTTAGATGATGCGTTTAAGGAGTAACTATGTTAAGTGCAAACATCTATCTATATGATTTTAGTATTATTCACTTAAATATTGTTCTTATGTTTTTGGTTGATTCATATCTTGTTTTTTCAAGTGATTAAGGAACAAATGTATTTTTTTTTTTATTAACTCAACTTTTCAACTCACACCTGTCAGAAGTTCCGACAATCAGCGAGTGTGATGTCAAGATGAAGAATGTTAATAGGTCTTGGAATAGGCGTGAAGGAGAGGAGTGCCCAGCGGCGTCCTTCCTATCTTGAATGTAATATTTATAGTTAGTGGAGCAGATCCCTCATCCATCTTCTTTAAGCCTCCTTCGGGTACTATCGGCCATGTTAGAGGTGGCCATGCCTCGAATCAATGAGTTGGTATGTCCGTGTAAATTATTATGAAATATCTCGTAGTGTGTTCGAATGTGGTCGTTAACTGTTGGCATCTGTAAGTCTTTTATAAAGTAATGTTACTGACGTACCACGGAATATTAGTGATAGTCCTCAAAGTTTTAGATTGAAAAGTCTGTAGTTTACGTATGTGAGTCTTTTTGGCTGTCCCGTATATCTGTGAAGCGTATGTCCAAATGGACTTAAGTAGGTAAGTATACGCATTCAATCTCTATCAGGAGTGAGTACAATAGTCGTAGTCTTAGGTTTAGAGTTTTTGTTTTGTTTTTGATATGTGGGCCCCATGTCATTCTTCTTTCAAAGGTCAGTCCAAGATATTGAACTTTGTCTGTCTGAGGAATGTATAATTTATCACAATTATGTAGCACATTACAATAATGACCGAATCAAACAAAATAGTAGACTTAATATACCAATAAGTATATTAAAAAATAAAAATGGTTACAGGATGAAAATAATTTTCGTGGTTGTTCTGGCATCCTTTGCAGCCGCAACGCGTAATGTTGACAAACTTAAGTGGACATCATTCAAAGTAAGCAATAAAATCTATATTATTACTAATCCAAAATAGATAACTTAATCTAATAACAATGAGGTAAATGAAAATGGAAAACGTTCTAATGTTACAGAAACGATTTGAGAAATCATATAAGAGTGATGAAGAGGAACAATCTAGGTTTAATATTTTTACTAAAAACTTGAGGATGATAGAAGAGCATAACGCTAAATTTGAAGCTGGACTGGTATCTTATTATTTGGTCATGAACGGAATCGGGGACCAGGTGATATATCTGGAAAGTAGTATAACATTAATTGTGCTCAGTTGTGGTGCCTGTAATTATTTAAATTTCAGATTGAGGATGAAATGAACAGAATGTTTACACTCCGCCTGACTGAAGATATGAACAGACGATCTAGGTTCAGATTTCGCCCTCCAGAAAACATTGAAATCCCTAATTCGATTGACTGGAGAGATTTAGGTGCAGTCACTCCTGTGAAAGACCAACGACATTGTGGTTCTTGTTGGGCTTTCGGCTCTGTGAGACTTTTGGTTGATTTCTATATCAGTAACATTATTCATCGAGTTCTACAATGAACCATTATAATAATTTCTAGATTGGAGCCGTAGAAGGCCAGCTTGCTATTAATACTGGAAAACTCGTCTCCCTCAGCGAACAGCAGCTCGTAGATTGTTCAACAGACTACGGGAATGAGGGATGTAATGGAGGATACGCGCAAGCAGCTTACAGCTATCTGCTTGATGTGAGAGGATTGGAAAGAGAAGATGCATATCCATACGAAGCAAAAGTTAGTAATAAAAAATATCAAAAAAATCTGTTATAATATAAAATATTCAAATTATAATTTAATTCTAAAAATAAATCCCTCTTAGGAGGGTAGCCGAAGTGTCCTTTTTGCTTAAAAGGACTGTCTCTTAAATTGTTTGAATGGATTTGAAACCAGCAATAGTTTCTTCGTAAAAATCTCGAGTGTCCATTTGCATCTATGACTTTAATTATAATAAAATAGTTCTAGGCTAAAATATACTGTGCATCTTTTTTAGTTCAATATCGTCATTCAGTTTTAGTAACATCATAACTTTAAGTAAAATCACAGTTATTATTCAGAAATCATACGTCATAAAATAATAACTTTTTTACTAAAAATTAATGTTAAACACAAAACAGGTTAACTTTGAGAACAATAATCATTTTAAATATTAATCTTCAGGATGACAAAAGTTTATTAACTTTAAGTTAATAAAGTTAATAAATCTTAACCTTCAAATCTCTTCTTCGGCCGAACTAACAAAGATCTGAGTCAAACAAACTTCTTTTCCCACAATATATTCCATTGAGTCTTTTAACTCTATACCGCTAAGATTCAACTTTTAGTGTGTATTTAATTTTACGAAGTTCATTATTTTTTTAATTTAACATTCTTAGTGAAACAATACGATTATGATAACCTCATTAGTACAATCAAAATAATTTTTTAACTTGTTTGTATTTAACAAATCTGTAAAATTTCTAAATAAGTGACAATAAATAACTGCCGATACTTAACTGAAAAAGACCCGATAATGTTTTAGTACTAATTAAAAAATAAATCAATTTTAAATTTGATAATAGCCATTAGATCGCGTATTCTGAATAGTTAAAAAGATGCTAAATAACAATTAATCCTAGTGCGTATTAAACTGTTAAGATATTACTTTTACAGAATCGCAGTTGTAGGTACAACAAGGATAAGGTAGTGCCAGGGACCAAAGTCGAAGCTTACACGAATATCAAGGCAAATAATGACTACGACCTCAAGGCAGCCGTTGGCACTGTTGGACCGATCTCGGTAGCAATCAACGCTAACAACAATCATTTCTTTTTCTACGGAGGAGGTCAGGAATCATAAAATTCATTCTCATTAGCAGTAGTATGCTTTAATTATTTACAATTAGAATTTACCATAACTGAACCTTTGATCGTAGGCGTTTTCGATGGCGATACCTGCAAGCCTGAAGTAGACCACGAGGTCCTTCTGGTTGGATATGGCTCAGAAAACGGGGAAGACTATTGGTTCGTCAAGAACTCCTGGGGTCCATGTTGGGGGGAGGGTGGATACATCAGATTCTCAAGATCCGTTCAAAACATCTGTAATATTTCTAGTGTGGCCAACTTTCCAGTTCTTCAATGAGGACCAAGGTGCTTCATCTCTTTTAAACTTAATGAATTTTATATTTTATTTAATCTATTGTACATTACATGTATTTTTATCACTATACACGTGATGTATATCACTTTAAAAGTGTTGTTAAAAATAATATCACTTTTTTCTAAACTCACACCGGCTTAAGTTTTAAGTATTGTACATAAAGTTTTATTTCACCCTGAAAACCGAAAGAACTTATTTGCCAACCCAATATAACACATGACTGCATATGGTTTCATGGGATAGAAGAGAGTTTTTTTTTAACAGTTAAACAGCTTTTCACACATACTTTTAATTATACCTCATAACCAATATAAATTGCATCAGAACCGTACAAATCAGAATGCAACCAATGGGTAGATACTCTACAAGCCTAGTCATGTCATATATTTCTTTGTATCACATTTGCTGAATATATATTAAGTTGTACAGTTGTAAATTTCATAAATAATAATAATAAATTAAAACTCATCTTTAGGTTATATTATTTTTTATTGTACATAAAGTTTTATTTCACCCTGAAAACCGAAAGAACTTATTTGCCAACCCAATATAACTCATGACTGCATATGGTTTCATGGGATAGAAGAGAGTTTTTTTTAACAGTTAAACAGCATTTCACACATACTTTTAATTATACCTCAACCAATATAAATTGCATCAGAACCGTACAGATCAGAGTGCAACCAATGGGTAGAAGACAAGCCTAGTCATGTCATATATTTCTTTGTATCACATTTGCTGAATATATATTAAGTTGTACAGTTGTAAATTTCATAAATAATAATAATAAATTAAAACTCATCTTTAGGTTATATTATTTTTTATTGTACATAGTTTTTGATTATTATTTAGTTATTATTTTACTTTTGTTAATTTTATGTTTTTTGTATATATGGTGTGAATGTCTCATATCTCACTATAATTATTATCCATGTGACAGATTATGATATTTTAAAATAAAATAAATAAATTATACCTCATAATATATTTTATTATTAAATAGTTAATGAATCCTGCAATGATAAATAATCAGTCAATGTTCAGCATAAAAGAAACAAATCCAATTTTTTTTTTTGTTTTTTTTTAACTATTCGTATTTTTAGTTGAGAAGAAAGCAATAACTAAAGGAATAGTTAATTTAAGGGATTACAAATTGCTTCATTTTAAACTAGATAGAATTTATAGTTCTGCTTATAGAAAATCATATATTATTGATGATTTTTTTCTTATCATCATCCAACAGAACTGAAAATCCCATCCCAACTTTTACAAAAACTTCTTTGTTTGATAAGCTTTAAATTCACATTAACTAAGTTGAGGTTTGAGAAAAAATTGAGATTGAGCTGAAGTTGTAGAAAAAATGATGATATTTTTTATCCTGACAAGTAAAATCATACCTGTTTTCAGCAAAAATTACCACAATTAACCGTTGCAAAGCTTTCATTTCTTGTTTATCCATAATCTGGGGTGTATTATAATAATTGCTTTTATATTTTATATGAAAATAAAATGTTAAAAAAAAAGTTAGGTAACATCAATTTATAATGCAATACTGAGAACGACTAAATTCCCTACAATGGAAATATTCATTCATAACAATAATTCACAAACCTAACAAGAACACCGACTTCCCTTTATCACACAGACCCATCAGCTTGCTCCCATTATGCTTTAATATCTTTGAGAAACTTTTCAACAAAAGATTTCTTGACATTCTGACTACCGAAATCATAATACCTGAACATCAGTTTGGACCCCGTCCACACCACTCAACCATTCATCAGCTACACCGAGTGACAGACTACATTGTGACAGCACTAGAGCACAAATTATATGCAACAGGAGTATTTCTGGATGTTGCTCAAGCGTTCCATAGAGTCTGGCACCAGGGACATTTTGTCAAACTTAAGACTATACTCCCTCCAACCTACTATCTTACCCTTCAATCTTTTCTTTCTGACAGGTTTTTCTCTATTTGCCAAGGTACAGAACTATCCACTACTAAACCAGCCTTAGAAGGAGTGCCGAATGGGTCAGTAGTCGCTCCTCTCTTGTATATCATTTACACATATATTATTCCAGATCCTGTCGATACTCTGACCTCGACATATGCAGACGATGCAAAAATCTTGAATTGACATTAAAATTCAACATAGGCCTCACAGATTCTACAATATCACCTTAATAAATTCAAAGACTGTTGCCAACTCTGGAAAATTAAATCATCCGAGACAAATCACTACATATCCCTTACCCTTCGACGTGAAACTTGCCCCCCTATTTACCTTGACAATATCAAAGTTCCTTAGACAGCCAAAGTTCAATATCTTGGACTGACCTTTGGCAGAAGAATGATCTGGGGCCCACATATTAAAAACAAAACAAAAACTCTAAACCTAAGACTACGACTATTGTACTCACTCCTTACAAGACATTCGAAATTAAAACTTAGACAGAAATTGAATGCGTATACTTATCTACTTATGCCCATTTGGACCAACGTTTCACAGCTATACGGGACAGTCAAAAAGACTCACATATGTAAATTACAAACTTTTCAATCTAAAACTTTGAGTAACATCACCAAGGCTCCGTGGTACGTCAGTAACATTACTTTACATAAAGACTTACAGATGCCAACAGTTAACGACCACACACAAACACACTACAAGATATTTTATAATAACTTACACGGACATTCCAACTCATTGATTCGAGGCATGGCCACCTCTAAGATGCCCGATAGTACCCGAAGGAGGCTTAAAGAAGATGGATGAGGGATCTCCTCCACTAACTATAAATATTACATTCAACACAGGAAGAACGCCGCTGGGCACTCCTCTCCCTCACGCCTATTCCAAGACCTATTAACATTCTTCATCTTGGCACCACACTCGCTGATTGTTTTTGTGAAACTGGGTTATCTGTTGTACTGTTGGATAATGATAAAAAAAAGTTGGCTTAGTTTAGCTGCTCAAAAGTTATCTTTGTGTTAACATTAATAAACTCTATTTTCGTTTAAAGTAAATTGGAACGGTGCAACTTGTGGAGGAGTGAAGGAAAGAGGGGGTGGTGTTAACGGTAGTGGTATATCTAGGGTATTCAGTACTAAGTTTTCATGTTCTGTGTTCGTGAAGTCAGTAAATGGTGTAAATACAGATGATAGATGATCAGCAAATAGTTCAGATTTTTCCCTATTTGACAAGGCCTATGAACCATTCTCATTTCGCAGGGGCACCTCTCGATGTTTTAACAAATTCTTGGCAAGCTTCCACAAACTTTCATCTTCAGTCTATCGACTGTTTGTCGCATTGAATTTTGTATTAGTCGTTGTAAGTTGTTATTCGGTCTGTTAAATGTTCGTTTATCTGAGGGAAGTCTGTTGGTCTGCCATACCTTACGTGCTCTTCTCTTTGCCGTGATCAAGTCCCTTATATACTGAGGATATCGAGGCAAGTGCTCTGGCCTTGATGACGTAGGAAGAGATGATACAAAAGCAGCTTTTTGGACACTTTTAATAAATTTGTCCACTGCATCGTCTAGTTCTTCTTCTGTCTTAATTGAGCCTGGGATCAAAAGTTCTGAATCCAGAAATTCTCTATAAGCATCCCAATCCATTCTACCACTGATGAGCTTTGGATTTCGTGGAAGGTTGACGGGCTCATCTAGAATAACCAAGTATATAAGGGAATGATCAGAGCAAAGGTCAGAGCTTGTATTTATGGCTTGAGGTATGGTTCGTAGTCCTTTGGTTATAAAAAAGTCTAGTAGGTCTGGAGTTTTCCATCACGAAGCTGGCCAATATGTCGGTGTATCAGGTAATACAGTGCCAAATGAAAGTTCATGGATAGCAGCCCTCAGATTTCGTCCTCTTGGTGTGTATAGCCGGGAGCCCCAGAGTTGGTGGTTTCCGTTAAAGTCACCGCCCACTATGAAGCAACGCCCAAGGCTTTGAAAATAATTGCAAAGATGTTTTGCAATTATCTTCGATGGAAGATGTCAGTACGTTCCTCGGAGGGCAATATACTGACGCTATACTGATTATGTTGTGTTTGGTATGTAGTGTTAAGCCTGTGGTTTGTATGTCAGGTGTGGTGGATAAGTACAAGAGGTTATGTGAAAGTGATGTCTTTATTAGTATAGCCGTATCACACGGAGCTGTATTGTCTGGATGGTCTGTTCTGTACGTAATGTAACCAGGAATATGAAATTTAGTTGGTGGTGTAAATTGAGTTTCTGTTATTAAAGCGATGTCTGTCCGTTTTTCGTGTAAATATAAGTCCAATTCTGTCCTATGTTGCATTAGTCCGTTCGCATTCCACAGAAGGGATGGGCAAGGAGGCCACAGATTACTGGCCATTTGGAAGACATATGCCTTGAGCTACCTGCGCGAGCTGTTGGAGAAGGCCAAAGAGGGGCTGGAGCAGAGTGTTTAGACCATTTAATAATTGAAATAGTTGTGGTGTGATGTATGCATCGCCTGAAGTGGACTGGTTACTTTCTTCCCTCTTGGCTGCCGAAGGTTTTTTAGAACTAAATTTTCTGTAAACACTTTACCGGAAAAGTTGCAAGGGATAAGATCCTAGTTCCAAAATAATTTAAAATATATATTCCACACACTCATACCTAAAATGTTAAAAAATAAAAGTTAAAATTTCATTTCAATCGTTTATTTCTGGTCTCAGGAATCACTAGAAAGTTGTTATTATTTTTTACTCAATTCCCACAGTCTTTTAATACCACTGGGGTGGTTGAGAAAGAAGCGCTGAATCTCCTGGAGCCTCGCTTTTCCCTCCACAAGGGGAGGGGGGCCTTGGCTGGGAACTCCTCTCGAAGAGAAAATAAAATAAACCTTTCCAGAGCCGCTGTTTACAAAAATGGCGGCTGGTTTAAAGAATATTACGCCACTTGGATCGAGGATCGAAACGGTTAATGCAATGTGACAAATTTGGGAAAAGTTTCTATTTTTTTAACTTGTATATAGGATTTTAAGTATGCAAAAAAGAATTGCTAAGCTGATCAACCAAAGGAAAAATTTAGATAGGAAATCGTCTGTACCACAGACTAGGTGTGTAACGCTAGTGTTGCTCAAATGCGAGACCAACACCAATCTTGGTCTTCCACACTCAGTCTTGGTCTTGGTCTTGGAACAGTTTTGCAGTTACTTATTAGCTTATTACTATAAAGGTATTACTGTAGTTTTTAGATAGGAGAAACCAAACTAAGCCTGAATGAAAAATTAAGAGATTTAAATGAAGAAGTATATTGGTTATACTTTTTCAATTATTTACATATAGTAACTGAAATTGTCAAGTATTAATAAATATATTTCCTTAATTTTTATTCAAAAACTCGATTTTTTTTTTATTAGTCTTGGTCTTGGTATTGCAACAGTTAGACGGTCTTGGTCTTGCAAAGAACAAGACCGATTTCGGGGACACTATATACCGCTAATTTACAAATTCTAATTTTTTGATGTTTTGCT